CTTGCATAGATAGATAGATATATATATATATATATATATCGTTAGAGTTCTAAACATTTTCAAGCTCGTGTATATGCATGTATACATATGTGCATACATATATATATAGCTTACGATGTGCACCTCATTCATCCACAGGGTTTCTTACAGATCATCCAAGAAAGCAACACCCAAAACCAGCCACATTCGCAAGCAATTAATGGAGAAGCTCTCGTAGTCAAGGACCATGTGCGTCGGGTTGTGCTAAACACATGGGGGAGTGATGAATGGATACGGGTCGAAGCGGACACTCAGGCCACACATGCGCACGAACTAGAGCAGTGCCTGTGCCGTGACTGGTCACTGATACAGACGGTGATTGCACTAATATATGCACAGTATGGGTATGTGTGGTTCATGGAGTGGCATTGACCGGTGGGTTCTGTGTACAGTTAAAGGCTACACCAGGGTGTAGGTGTCGATTGTCTTGTGTTGTCTATCAGCTGTGTGAAATTTGACGGCTAGGGTTGACTATCTATCCGTATGTATGTGTGCCATGACTGGCTCCTGATACAGACTGTTGTTTCACTGATGTATGCGCTGTATGGGTGAGGGTTCTATAGCTACATAGACCGATGCGCTGGTTGTTTAGCGGCAGGCTAAAATAGGACGTAGTTACAGCATATATATATATATAAATATGTGTGTGTGTGTGTATGTATATATATATACATACAAGTATATATATATATATATATATATATATATATGTGTGTGTGTGTTGTATATATATATATATATATATATATATATATATAATATATACTTATATATATATATATATATATGTATATATATATATGTGTGTGTATGTATATAGTCAAATACATACCTGTATATTCAAAGTAATACGATATACATACATTGACATGCATATCTGTGTATGTATGATTCATCGTATAGCACAAGCATATATCCTACATCACACACTAACACTTACTCCTACTGGTTTCAGACATTCATCAGCACCACTGGAAATAGTCCCGGCCTTCGCGAACCTTCTCAACGCATCCGTAGAAGCACGAAGCATAACAACCGAAGCTGGCGTATCCAATGAGAATCCTCACATCACTTGGCTGGATATGTTGAGTCCTGTGCATTTATTCTTCTACACAGCACGTGCACTGCCGAGTGTACAGTATGAGATAGACCGCAATACGTGTGAGGGGGTACGAAGTGCGGTACATACGATACTCAATACACCCCGGGCCGGACAGGAGCTGTCCGTATACAACACCATACTGTGTGGTGCGTACAGGTATGTCAAGACTTGATTGGGGGTTCGTTCTTAATGAGTGGGTGTGTATTTGTACTTATGTGTCTATATGTACATATGTGTATATGTTTGCACTTATGTGTATATTTGTATACATGTGTATATATTTGCACTTATGTGTATGTATTTATATATGTGTATGTATTTGTACTTATGTGTCTATATGTATACATGTGTATATATTTGCACTTATGTGCATATATGTATATATGTGTAGATATTTGCACTTATGTGTCTATATGTATATATCTCTAGCGTGAGACACTGTGCATACGATACCCCTGACACGTAGGGTGGGCCAGGGGGCTGTGCGCATGCAACACCACACCGAGTGACGTCGCTAGTAGGTCGCACCTCAAGTGGGGGCAGGTGACTTGGTCATTGGAGTGTAGCCTATGCACGTATATACAGCGCAGGATAGTGAGCACAAGACACGCAAGGTACAACGTGTGGGACATACAAAGGCCGTCTGTGGTACCCCTTATGCAGTGCATGCACGTGTGGCATAGCGTAGGTGGCGAGGATGGGCTTTGGGTCAAATTTCTACCGTACTATGATACGTGCACTTGGATACTATGCTGTGCTATATGCACAGCCGCTTCGCTTTCAACCCGGCCACTTCGAGGCGTGTACTGTTCCCACACTCATATAGCCTGTATACACAGTCCCACTCATTAGCCTGTATACACAGTCCCACTCATATAGCCTGTATACACAGTCCCACCCATATCGCCTGTATACACACTCCCGTTAAGTCGGTATCTGTGCATGACCCAATCTCCCCTCGCAGACGCGGGGCTACCAGCTGCACCACAATAGACCTTGTTGTGGGTAGGGCCTCTCCACGACCACTGAATACAACACCCGACGCCCACGCCAAGCACGTGTTCTCTACCGTGGTGGATATATTAATAGCACACTCGACAAAGAGCAAGACCCTGCTCCTTATGGAGCCTCCCATGCGGGCGAGTCTGCATCGGTTTCTGTGTATTGTGGGGCTGGGCACGGCGGGAAGTTCTCCAATGCGCTACATACTGGACCTGAAGGCCGTCACGGTATGATTTATAAGTGTCTGCGGGGTAGGGGCATGTTGTTGACGTATTGATGCCTGCGTTATGCACTTGCGTGTGGATACGCTGATATATATTCACACACATATATACATTTATATCTTCACTATACGCTGATATATATTC